GCAAGGCTCTGTGGGGATGTAAAGCCCCCAGCAACACTGCAGCCCTCCGAGCTCAGAGCAGTGCTGGGGATATATTACAAAATGAGGAAGGAAAGGTTACTCTAATTCTTGGGGGCTATAATTTTTGCCTGTTTGCACTTTTCTGAAATGCCCCTTCTAAAGCACTTAAGGTTGCTTGGCACAGAAGGTCCTGTGCTCAACCTCTGTTTTATACCTGGAGCTGGAAAGGTACCAAGTAGCTCCTAGTCCTGGGGAGCCCAAAGCAAGTTTGAATGGCCTCCTCTCAAAGACTAGGCCTACGTACGTATGAATATTTATGGCTATGGGCATACAGCTGCTTTGTGTATATTTAGCATGCCCCTCAGTATAGTCCCTAAAACATAAATCTCCCTCTGCCTTTTACTGTCTCACAAGACGAGAGGTTTTCTTCAATTACTGGTATTACTTAACAGGAGGCAGCAAAATCTCCCTAGAGAGTCCTTAGGATGAAATACCTTATTACTAACATCATTCTCTGTCTCGGGGCTTGATGACACGATACACAAACATGCTTTATTTGTCTCTTGTCACTTACTGTGTCACCTGACTCAGTAATCAGTCTGTCTGCTCCCTGCCTCTGCTTCATCCTGAGCCCCTCTGCGCACCTGCAAGCAGCACCTTGGAGCATGGCCAGGAGGATGAAGAACACCCATTGTATCTCCAGCCACTGATGTCCCTTCCCATGTCAGATGCAGCTGATTCACCATGACAGATGAGGTTGAAAGATGAGGCTAATTCCTTGGATTAAGGCCTGTCATAACCTCAGCTATCAGCACCTTACACTGTCATCACGATTGTACCGACTTCCCTCAAAGCAGCAGAACCCCCTAAGAACAGGAGGCAGCCAAATTGAGCAAGTGATCAAAGCTTAGATGAGACCAGCATTTGCAAAATCTTCAGCCTTTGATGCAACATCCGTGGCAAGTGAGCAAAAATGTCAACAGACTCAGACACTACTGATGGTTATCACCATCCTCTTTGATATCCAGCTTCACCGGGATAAAAGAAACAGCCCATTGGTAGCAAGTTTTAATACCTGTGGAGCTTGAGGGGATGTGACCTTTGTTTAATAAGAATGTCTGAAAACACTCTGAGATAATAAATACTTTAGCAAGCAATATTTATTTTTTAACAGAATATATATATTTTTTTTTTCCAGTTATGCAAATTCAAACTCAGGCTTGGAGGACTGACAGGAAAAAACAAGCAGCAATCTGAAAATTAATTTTTCTTCTAAAGTAAATCATACCACATTTTATATCTGTAATATTCTTATCCTTTCTGACAAGCCCTTCAATCTCCCAGCTACGATTTATTTGGAAGTCCTTTCCCTCTACTCTGTCTTCCTGTGTTCAGAATCACAGACTCACATGGAGTCTAGGCTGGAAGAGACCCCTGGGGATCTACAGGTCTAAGCTCTTACCTTTCTTTAGAAGAACATAGCTAGATGTCAGTGTGTTCTGCTCACATTCAAACACCCTAACTGAGATATGTGCAAATGCTCTGAACAATTTCTATTCAGATCTCTCCCATCACCACCAACAACTTTGGCATCTGTAAAAAATGGGACCTTGCTTTGCCCCTCTTGCTTTGGCATAGTAAGAATTACAGATTCCTAATTCTTTTACTTCTGGCAGCAGCTACTTACTCTGCAGATGAGGTGAGATGAAGTAGTTCCTCAAGGCTTTCCTCATCCCTCCCATGCCCTTTCCTACATCTGGCCAGACTTACAGAGCTCTTTCATCTTCCTGCACAAAGGCAGGGTCACCATTTATTAGTGGCCTAAAGTTAAGGCTAGTCTGCTAACCAGGCAAGGCCTTGAAAAACCTCAATTGAGAGTAGTATTTTGGAGATAGCTGGCATCACCTGCACAATAGTGAAAAGCAAACAGGGGAGATAAGGCCTCCTGTAGCCCACTGGATTCTTCTGCACATTCTCTCGTAGAAGATGCTCACTGGTGCTTTAAGGAGTAAACATAGCCAAGAGTTCCTCTGGTGATGAGGGAGGTTACTAAATACCTAATCTCCTCTCTGAGTGCCCTTTTCATGGATATATAGACCATAAACCAAATGCACTTATATGGCACACAGCTAGCAGTTTTACGGGACAGTACCTATCACCTGCCAAAGTGCACTCACTGCAGAAGTGTCATAACACTTAGAGCTTTAAACGTTTCAGCTCAGTATGCCTACCAAATAAAAAAACTAGTACTTGAATAACCCATAACTAGCCCAAAGAGGATTGTTTTCAGAATGATTCCAGCATTTTGTCTAGTGTATTCCAAGTGGCACGTGTAATGCAGCCCTTTGTAACGTTTGAGGCTCATGCTCTGAAACACTTGGTAGTGTTGTTAATCACCTCAGAGCAGTTACTCGTGTCCTGCCTCTGTTCCCCACCCCACAACAGGGACACAGGCCCTCACTTTCAAAGACACTGTATCCACTAGACAGGGAAAAAAAATGCTGTCTGTTCCCTAGGCTCAATTTATTCACCAGGGTCTGTGCATATGGCACTGTCTGAGAGCAGCTGTTGTACTTCGTGAGTGCCCTAAGGTGGAACATGTCCTTTCCATTCGATAACAGGGTTGAAGCTAACAAAAAATTCTGCTCTCGGCATTGTTGTTGTGCTTCCTTCTGAAAGATCTAGACCTGAAGACTGTAGGAAGATAACAATTTAAGACAATTTCTGGTCTTCCTTGGTTGTATTTCTTTAACCCCAAGTTCGTTCAGTAGGGAGTGTCTGATCACTAAAACTGCATGGCTAAAGAATCAAAGACTCCATTCCACAGAACACAATTATTGACAACTATTTTGGTTTGAATTACAGTTAAAAACTGGTGTCTTTCTGGCCTTTTAGTAGTCATAAAAGTTCCTCAGAATTTCTCTGGAAGTTAAAGTCATGCTACTTTAGAAATATTTTCTTAAAAATGTAAACTCAGTAATACTGTGGGATGTTTCATAGGCTTTGCACAGTATTTCCTAAGGGAAGGGGAAGCCTACAACAGTAGTAGTCATACTTCCTGCTCAAGAGCTAAAACCACAGTGCCTTGACATTACAAAACTACTGTTCAGGCCAAGTCATTTTCTAAATAACAGGAAAGATGGAGTAGTTGACAAATTATTATGACCTCAGGATAAACAGTTGGATGAAATGAGGAAAAAAAAAAAAAATTCAGGTAGCTGACATTTGTCTGTTCGTACACTTTTACACCCAACAAGCTCTACCATATCCAACCAAAAGTCCTTCCCCTATCTCCAATAGCTACAAAGAGCTGATATCTGGGAATATATGGGAAAGATATAGAGATACTGTCTAGAACAGTCTCTTAGCAAGTTATGGATCACGTGCTTCAAAAAGCCAAAATGATGCCTTTGAAGTGTACCCTGTTCAACTTTTCCAGGCCACATTTGGCTTTGCAGTTTTCTGTCCTATCCCCCCAAGTCAGATCTTTCCCAAAGACCTAATCTATTCGCTTTTTTTTTTTTTTGTACAAAATCTCTTCCACAACTTTGATTAGCCCTGTCACCTTTTTCTCCACCTTTTCCACTTTTCCCATATCTTTTCTGAGCTGGGGGACCAGCCCTGAACATGGTATTTAAAATGCAGCTCACCATGGATACAGACCATAATAAAGTCTGGCATTTCGTGCTCTGCTCATTTCTTTAGAATTCCTAACGCTTTATTTGCTTTTTTTGACTGCAGAGGAGCACTCAGCTGACATTTGACAAAACAAAATCCATCATTACAACCTAACCAGAACTCTGGACTGCTAGACTATTTAAATATGCATATGAGTTATTTTAATTTCACTAATATGTGCTTTAACCCTGTGCTTTATTTCCTTTATCTGTGCATCCTACATTAAAAAGAAAGGCTTCAGTCTACAACTTTTCAAAAGGAAAACCTGGTGACTTTCTTTTCCATTTTTCCCTCCCCTGTGCCACACATATTCAAACTTCATCTGTACATTTAGGAAATAAGATTAATGCATCTTTGAAAGAGAATGAATAATCTACAAGGATCATATGAAAGGAATCTGAAGGATCAGACTCTGCTCCTTCCAGTGAAGTCTGTCCTGACCTGACTCATTTTCAAATGTTGAAATGGAGCTGCAGGTAATGCTCTCCCACCTCTGAGCCTGGCTTTAGTGGTGCATGCTTACGTGCCAGACAGCCCAGGGAGTTTGCTCACTGTTGAGATGTTAAGCAATAACTCTGACCTGGAAGCCACTTGCTGATTAGGCTATTGAAAATGGAGGAAAGAACACAGCATCTGGTATTCCTGAGTACCCCCAAAGTTATCATCGAGAAACTTATAAAAAGTGCATGATCTCATTTTAATGGAAAAAAGAAGTTTCGGGATATTTCCCAAAAAGCCCTTTACAAAGAAAACAATAATGGACTTCTCCATTTTCACCTCCAGATTTTAAATTATAATCATAAACATACGTACATTTGACAGCAAGATTGACCATTTGCAGCAATGTTTTCCTCTTTACTGTTATTTTATACCATCTAAAACCGCTTAGTGTAAAAACACTGCAATACCTTTGTACAACTTACAAATACTTACAGAAAAAAAATATTCATTCCAGAAGATGAAAGATAGAAGTTTTGGAGGAAAAAAATGACAGAAACAGTATATTTCTATTATGGAGGAAAATGTGTTTTAGGTGAATATCACTCTCACTCTCACATTGCAGCCGGTGTTCAGTTTTTATCTTTTGCTACTTGCTGGTAACAGAAAGGTTTTAAGCATTTTACTATTAAATGTCACCATAAGAACTAAATGTTTTAATGTCCAAAATACCATGTTCTTTCCTGACAGTTCAGATGCATCTCAAAATGTGTGAGGGCCAGATGGAAAGTACTCTATTCAAATGGACACATTCGCTTTAAGTGCTACATACAAAACCCGCTGAAATAAAGAATAATATGTTTGAATGTCACTGTGCTTGGCACAGCACTTAGGCACCTGGAGGCTTTATGCAACCATCATCCTACAGGAAAGGCAATCACATTTCATGTACTTCAAAAATAGCGGTGCATTTTCCTCAGGTTTTGTGTTTTCTGTTTCCATGCAGAGAATATTAACCAATTCTACCTGCTGTTAATTTCTAATTGCAAAGAAATCTGTTTGTAAACAAGCCCTGTGCATACCCAAGCCCAGGAGAAGGGAGATGGCTCAGATGGATGTGTAGGCAAGGGATGGTTTGGTACCCTCCTTTCAAAGCTCTACGCCTCTTGTTGACTTCAGTGAGATTCCAGTGCAAGCCCCTGAATGCAAGTGGTGGCTTATAAATACAGTACTGCAATTGTAAAGGAGTAACAAATTGCTTTGAAAACAGCTTCCAAGTCTTTCCCTTTCTTCCACTTTCCATTTCATCACAGAGAGCTACCTGTTGTTCACCCTAATAGCACAAGACCCTGAGCTGCCAGAGCCTCTGACCTGCTCCAAAAGCTGCTGCCAGTGGCTGAATTAGAAAAACTCTGGGAAAGTTTAATGGTAACTGCTGAATGGGTCAGAATAAAATCTGTCTGGTTATCCAGACAATGGCAACATTTTTTTTTTATTCTGCTTTTCTCACAGATGTACACTTCAAATTTCAGCTAAACACATGCTGAATTGCAAATGTCTAAACCTTATAGCCCATCAAATCAAAACTAAATTTAGTTTAATGACAGTCTCAGCATGTATAGTATGGATCTAAACTATTTCTATCAAGTTTTCTGTTCTCAGCTATGTCAAACCCTGAAGTTATTTTAACGTAGCATTGAAAATGTCACAAACTGTTTGGTAATAGGAAATGTAAATACCGAAGTACCTGAAGAGCAGATCTAATTCCAAATATATTTCCTTAATGTTACTTGTGTCAAAATGGTTTATTTAAAGGTACCTTATTGGAGATTCTCTTTATAACTGCAATTGGAAAATGCATGGTGGCTTTCATTACATTTTTGCATAGCAAAGTTCATACACAATGGACTTATCTGAAGGCTTGGTGATAATCACAAGCAGTGAGGAAGCCTTCAACACATGAACTTTGTTCAAATTATGTGGTGCCACAAGTATTTGTCCTTCATTTAGCTTTCCAATTACACAGTCCATTTTCCACTTTTAAGAACAAAATGTGGTACATTAAGGTTTGGGGTTTTTTTTCCCCCTTCTAACAATACTTAAAATGAATGATGCTGTTTCAGATCTCTTTAGCTTCATTTTGCATTTTCCTTGGAATAACCTTGCTTAGCTTCGTACCCATTATAAAAGACAAAGCTCTGCCAGTAAAGTGTGCCAAAGCACAACATTTTTCTCTGTATTCACTTCCCAAGTGCAAGGAAAGATATTTTTCACTCTGTTAGGTGAGGTGGACTTTTTTTTCCCCTGAAGGCATGAGAGCTAGCTGACACACATGCCTTGCTTTGCTCCTGCACTCAGCACTTCCTCTTCTTTGAGTATCAGTGGTTGTCTTCTACCTTCAGTGGTCTTCTGTTCTGCATCTGACACACAAAACTATCTCTTATTAGAGGGCTACTAATAGAAGTGGTGATGAAATGAGATGCCAGGTATCTACTCTAGATGTTGGGTTTATGAGGCTAAACCTTCCAAGCTCCCTACACAATAAAGCCTCTAGTCTCATAATGATCAGCCTTTAAAAACCAAACAAATATCTTCAGCAAATAGACTATTTCAGGGGCTGCAGGACTTTCCAGCTTAACACAATGCACCCACTCATCCTTTTTCCTCCACAGAATGACTGCATACTGCAATATGTCAAGAAATCATTATCTAACGTGCTGCTTTGTCTGCAGACCTCATGCTACTTATTAAACATTAAGATTGTTGTTTAAATGTTGGTCATTTTGCTGACAAATTCCCATACAGCTCTTCTCTATGCAGCAGAAACAATTCATCTCTGCTTTAATGTAACTTCAGACCTCTTAAAGGCTTACTGAACACGCACAAGGCAAATTGGTAGAAAGGGATGGGCAAGGTCTTTGGTATTAAGCACATTTGTAGTTGATCCATCCTTAGACTTAAAAAATACATACTTAAAAATATGCATGCTCAGAAGTTAAATATGATTATGTTAAAATCATTCCCTTGCAGACATTATATAGCTACCCATTAGTGCTGCATTACTAATGTGATACCTACTTTTATCCTGCAGTGTTTTCCTTAGTAGCTAAATTACTTGTTGGATTAATACAATGGTATGAGAAAGGTAGCAAGAAGTGCTGTGCTCATAACCACACAGAATGTAATCTTTGAACTCTACTTTTTCCTCTCGTTTTACTCTTGCAGTGAGGTGTGATCCACCATGTGAGCATGGAGGAACTTGTCTGTCTCAAAATACTTGTTCTTGTCCTTATGGATTTGTTGGTCCTCGATGTGAAACAAGTATGTATGAACTCGTTCAGGCTTTTCTCCTCATTACATGCTTGAATTAGAAGACAAAAAAAAAAAAGGTCTTTTTATGTTTCTATATTTCCCCTTAAAATTATGACTGAACTCAGCAAGAAAATCAAAGTATAATATATCGAAGTAGTACAGTAGCTAAACTATTTCAGAACATATATTTGCGGGCAGTATAGTTGCATTATGTAAAAATATGCACATCTATATCAATATTTTCTACATAAAAGTGCTTTGGAAAAAAAAATTAAAATAAACGAAAAAAAAAAAGCAAAAACCTCTGTGTTATTTATAGTAACATTTATGAAATCCAAGGTTGTGTGAGTGAATGCAGTAACACTAATTTTTTGAGAAGACAAAAAGATAACCCTACCTATTAGGAGTCACATTATTGTGCAATACACGTTACAAAAGAGGCTCGATATATAGAACATCTGGGAAAAAAATCAGCCTTCAAACCCTTCTATATTAGCTGAATGATGAAACATATGCAGCTTCATTATTTCAGTCTTCGCTGCTTATTTAAATATCAGGTTGCCCTTGACAGGAATATAATTTTATCTCTGAACCAGAGTAGCTGGAATACTTAAAAAGCAAAAAATTTTAGATGCAAGACTTCTAATAGAGAAAGAAAACCAAAGAAAGGGACAGATTCATTCCTCAGTTTACCTCTTGGGCCCACACCATTAATTATTTGCTGTAATAGAGCAACTTTAGGATCTGCGTGAGTGTTGCTGACAAGAGGTTTTGATCCTTTGCATGTTTTCCAGTGGTGTGTAACAGACACTGTCACAACGGTGGGGTCTGTGTGTCCCCAGATGAGTGCAAATGCAGAAATGGATGGAGCAGCCCTTCCTGTGAAACAGGTAAGTGGTTAGCAATGACTGGTCTCTCATCTCTTTTGCTGTCTGATTCCCACCCCACATGGTTCCCACAAGTCAGCAGTCAAACTGGGAGTTGCTTAAAGAATTAAAACATAAGAACAGGCAATCTCATAAAGAACAAAATTTTGAATTTTAATTTTTTTTTTTAAACTCAAAGTTTTTCAGATTTCATCTAAATATTCGTAAGTTTAGATGTGTATCTAAATCTCAGGGTCACATAGAGGAAACCCACAAACAAAACTTTTTTTGTAGTTTTTTATGCTTCTGTGATTCTGGAGTTCATTCTTAGCATGCTCCAAAACAAAACTAAAGCTATTCACCATTTAAGAGGTTACAATCTTACCAGGTAGCTTCTGCAAACGGGAATAATTCTCACTGGGACTTTGGAGATATGTTGATTTACAGTCTCAGCTGCCGTAGACTCAGTCCTGAGTCCTGTCCAGTCCAAACTGGGACTTTCCTGTCCCACCCCCAGGGGCAGAGATGAGGGCAATGCAGCCAACTGCTCCCAACCTGTGCACCTTCCAGTGTTCATTGCCTTTAACCCTACACATTTCTCTCAAGGTACGATGGTGGGGCATGATGGGTTTGGCTTTGGGTGATTTTTAATGGTATGCAGTCAAATCTGGACTTAAAAATGCAGCTCATGGAGACAGGAATAGAATGAGGCCAGTTTAAGTTAGGACAAGAAAATAAGCAAGCAAATGTTGACTTCTGCTGGTAAGTTAGCAGCTCTGTACATTCTTCCAATACTGCGTAGCCTAAGGAGGAAAAGTGAACCCAGAAAGGTAAGCCATCAAAAACTGACTGCTGAAATTTTTGTGGTCCAGTTCTTGGATTCAGTTTTGCCATTCCAAAAGATGGCTTGTGACTCTATGAGACAGAACAAAAGCCAGTTTTCAAGAACATAACCATGTTAAACATCCTGCTGCTGCCAGAATTCACCCTGTTCCTCCTGCCTGCATCATACACTTTCAGAGTGTCTACAAAAGACATCCACAGAAGTTTGTGTGACCAGGGAAAATCCACCTCCATCCATCAGTTCAAAATGACAATGTGAGGGTTGGAACTAAGTAGCTATTTCTAGTCAGACCTCATACTTTTGAACCCTGTTTAGAACAGACACAGCTCAGACCTTCCTCTCAGGGTCCAAGTGCTAAAATCTGGAGTATATATTTTTCCTCCAAAGGCACAGCAACTACAGCACTCACCTGGGACAAGGCATGCAAAATAGTACAATATTAAACAGAGGGAGAACGAGGAGTACCTTAATCAGTGCCAGACCTCAAGGCTACAGAGGCAGTCTGCCTCTGCCATAGTGAATATTAAATGGCTAAGACACCTTCAGCCTACATTACCTTTCCTGGAAGGTGAGAGATGTCATTTTAACCTCCATCTCCTGGAGATTGCTCTTCCTGTAAGTGTTAAAATGACAGAACTGTTGAGGACACATAAATTAACCTAGCATAGACCCACGGTAAATGACTGGGGTTGCCACTAGCTATTCTGGTTCCTATTAGCTCCTCTTTCTTTCTGCCATAGATTGCTCCCTTTGAGTTCTGCAAATTTATTTTGGGGTGGATTTAAACAGGATTATTCCAAAAGGAGGACAAGCAACAGCAGCAGAAGCAGTAATTTCCAGCCCAGAATAACAACAGCAGGATTTGTTTGTCTGCCAATACCTTAGGTGAAGAACTATCTGCTCACCCCTCTAGCACTGTTTTTCGTGCACTATGCAGAGTATTTTGTGGATACTGTTGGAGTTTCCTGCCTCATATAATATGAGTCTGTGTATGAACACAGATGCAGAAACATGAAAAAAAATAGACTTAGAGGACTTCACCAATGGAAATAAAAACACTGACAAAGTGTGGACATCTGTGAACCAGCGATGACAACGAGGCAACTAATCCAAATTCACCATTAGCAATGAAGTCCATTTTGACTTCATATCTGATTGCTGCTTAGTCAGAAAAACCTCTCATCTAGACTACAATTTCACTTTTTCTCTCTTGCCAAATTAACATTTATTTCTCCTTTAGTTCATCTGAAACATTTTAGCAACCCTTTATTTATTTAAGCTTAAATGTATTTAATTCATTTAATAGGCTATTCTGTAAGATACTGAAAGACAAAGGGAATAGGAGGAAAAAGACTGTTTTAAAGTGTCACTCTGCTTTATAATAAAAACTTTATCAGATTCCTTATTCTTCGCACACTTCCCAACTAAGCTAATTTGCAATTCTAATACTTTCTTTTTGAACAGTCAGGTACTTGCTGCATAGAAATATGCAAGACAGCTTTTAATTCCTAATGCCTGTTCTATCAGCCACAGTAATAACAGATAAATAAAGAGGCAGAGGGAGCTCAGCCAGTGGCTTTGTTGCTGATGCATGAGCCAATATGTTGTGGGAACCAGCATTTCAATGAGGCAGAACAAACGGAGGGTTTGTGGTGCACACCTATTGGACTCCACAGAAATGCCACGATGCTCTGCTGAACTCAGACAAAGCAGCAAATGGTTAACAGCTCATCTCCAGGTTATCCAGGCTGTGTCCAAGCTATGTTTTACTGCCTTGAGATCATGTTTGGTGAGGATACTAGAGCGGAAGCAAATGAACTGTGCAAATCAAAGGAAGATATCAGAAATAAACTATGAAATTATATCTTATTTCAGCCCCCAAGCTGTGTTAGAACAACACTGAAACACTCCCACTGTGCTGACAATGAATAAATGCCACGGCACAACTGACCAGCAAGGACTGTGTGACATTTATCACAATATTTCTAGATATGTTTCTCCTAATGACATGTTCAGCAGCAAAAGACCACCTGTTCAAAAAAAAAAAAAATCTAAATTCTAAGAGATTCACAGATTTCTCTTATATTCACATACAGCTGTGTGCAATCCCGTGTGCTTGAATGGAGGAGTCTGTGTACGGCCAAATATGTGTACATGTCCTTCTGGTTTCTATGGGCCACAGTGCCAGAGAGGTAAGAAAGTTCTATTTATCATCTTGATAAAGGATCCAGGCTTCAAATATAAACAGCAGCTTATATCATTACCTGCTCCCACATGAAGTATATCCAGAGACTTTCCTTGTCATAACTCCCTGTGTGCTCCTTGGATGCTACAGTCTGTCATAAATCCACATTATATTGTTCTTAATGGTATTGTGAAGGAGTAAGCACTTATTTATGATGGCATGAATGATAGCTAAACAATTAATCTAATATGATCTGAAGTCAGGATATCACTAATTAGTAATTATTCAATTAAATGTTTAAGCATGGTTCTACTTTGTTCATTTTACATACTCTGTGGTATGTACTATACTCTATTTCAGAGCCAGATAATTTATCTCCAAATTGGGTTCACAATATCACCTACTTGAATCCCTGCTTAAGGTTTGGATCAGATACATCTCTGCCTGTCACAGAGCACAACCTGATTTTGAACCCTTGTCCTAAAGGGGAAAACTCTAAACTGAAGTATCTGGGGCTTCTTGCTCACTTTGTGTTGCAGAAGTCAAACTAATGAATACTTCAACTACCCATTAGCTCAGGGAGAACAGACAGGAGAGAGGAACTTATGTTGAGGGCTCAAATAGCAGAAAAAAAAAAAAAAGCCCTTTGCTTATACCACTTGCTTTTCAATTTTTGAGCATGGCTCTAAGAAGTGAACTGAACCTGGGAATGTAAATACACTCTTATTACCAAACGGGGACTATTTCAGTAGTAAAAGTTCTTTTCTCTTTCTCCCTCTCTTTTGTTTCCTTGGAGTTCACAGATTAATGCAGTCCCAATGCCTATTTTTGCAGGTGATCTGCACACAAAAATCTAATTGCAAATGGAGCTGGCTGGAAACTTTTTGTGATGCTTAGGGTGAAGGAGAGAGAGAAAATTATACAGATTGTCTAATTTGATGACCTTTCTCTTGAGGGTCAACATGGGTGGTGATTTTCAACATGTAGGTGAATTGGAATAATTAACCTTAAGTGTGATGGTTTAGACAGAATTAAATCTTAAAAATAAATATCTTCATTTGTGGGATAGGGAAGTAATATGGGGAGATAAGGGGATGGATGGTGAAGAAAAGCACAGCCCTTCCTTCTGCTTCATTGAGAAAGGGGAAAGAAATAGCACCAAAACCAAGTCAGCAAATATCAAACACTGATCTATATTTCAAGGGCAGAAGCCCTTTAAGAAGACTTTAGTTATAGAGTTACAAACAGAAGAGATTCTCAGGAAGATTCTGACTACTTAGCTGCAGGTATCTAAAAGAGACCTTTAGGTGCTAGGAGTCATGTCCCACATTCTTTCCACAAACAAGAGAGAGTCAGGATGTCCAGCAAAGCATCTGCCCGAATCACCCTTTGGAGAGACATCTTCTCTACCCTGACTAAAGAAAACAGTCCCTGCAGATTGATCTCCTCACACAGACACCTAAACAAGGAGCCTGTATTTAGACAGTGTTGATCCCCTGTGAGATTTCAGTGCACCAACTTTTGCTTTCCTTTCACCAGCTGTTTGCATCCCCCCTTGTAAGAACGGTGGTCACTGTGTTCGAACCAACGTGTGCTCCTGTACCGAGGGCTACACTGGAAGGAGGTGTCAGAAAAGTGAGTTACAGACTTTGCTTTCCAAGGTTCTCTGACTCACACACAGTTTTTCTCCTTTTTGTGCATGTTCAGCAGAGTATTTAGTCTGGATTTATGGTGTGATCTCCTATATTTCTACCAGAGTACATATAGCACCACGTAATGTCTAAAACCAACTTGTTAATTAGAACAGCATTGAGTCAGTCAGTGTTGGGAGTAGAATGTTTTGCTAGAATCTTCTCTAAATATTTCATTCTGAATGGGTAGCACTTGCGTTTGGAGGTGAATTAATTATTTTGCATTAAAGATTTTTCAGGGAAAAAATTGAAGCCAAAGGCAGAGCAGCTGACTGAGATCCTTCAAAATATTAGATCATCATATTTCTAGCTTAATTAAGACAGTTAGTTAATAACACTTCAGCCTTGCCTTTGTTCTTGTCACTGAAAAGTCCCTCTTCACCTTAGCATTGGTATTCATATTCAATTCTTCTATTCTTCTGGGGAAACAGGTTATTTGGGCACTTTTACAGACTCTATTGCTCCACAATATCTGTCACCCAGGGAGTTTAGGATATGTATGTGAAAACTTTTTTTTTCCCCTTTCTTTTTTTTTTTTTTTTGTTATTATTGCTTAACCATTTTTAAATTGGCAAAAGGGGAGATGTGAAAACAACCATTCTTGACAGGAAGAATCTGTACATTTCCAGAGCACTTTATGTCTCTCACACACAGAGAAAAAAAGAAAAAAAGCCAGTAAAAAATTCCTTCTGGCAAGAAAAGCCCTCTCAATGCCCACACTACAGCTCTCCCCTCCTTCCGCGGGGAGAGTCACGATGCACCGTTCTGCCTGGCTGCAAAGTACACAATTGAATACTCTGTTCTGGCAGGAACAAGCTGGAGGGAAGAAAGGAGGAAAAAAACCCCTTATGTTTGGCATCTTGTTTTTGAAGTTAGAGAACATTAGAAAAGTGCTGTTTCCAGCTTTAAACATACTACCACAGCTCCAGACTGATGAAAGGAAAAAGAGGCGATCATGACTGCAGTCTAGCAAAGCATGCCTCTGTATTCTCCAACTGCTACCAACACACAGCGAGTTCCTTCCACTTTCAGAAAGTTTGTGAGGTTCTGTTGCCCATCTTGGTGTAATTTTTTTGCAAAAAAGCTTTCTGATACGATGAAAATATTTTTGTTCTGCCCAATCACAGCCTCCATTCTACTTCAACAACCGCTTTGTGGTCTGTTTTGTTTAGCCTAGTGTTATAAAAGCTGAAACTCTAAAGGACTTGTCTGTAATGAATGAAGAGAAACATGATTAAGTAGAAGGCAAATACTACTATTTGCTTACTCTTTCTAGCCACTGTTAACTGTTAAAAAATCATAGAATGGTTTGGGTTGGAAGGGACCTCAAAGTTCATATAGTTCCAACCCCCATGCTGAGAGCAAAGACACCTTCCACTAGATTAGGAAGCTCAAAGTCCCATCCAACCTGGCCCTGAACACTACCAGGGCTTGTGCATCCATAACCTCTCTGGACAGCCTGTTTCCACCCTCACAGTAAAGAATTTCTACCTAATACCTAAATATACCCTCCTTCAGTTTGAAGCCATTACCCTTCAACCCTATTGCTATACTCCCTGATAAAAAGGTCCCTCCTTTCTTGCTTAAAATCAACTGCACATGAGACAAGTATCATGATCCACAGAAAGAAGTTATTCACAAGCTTTTCATAATAAGCAATTGCTGTTAGAGCTGTATGTCTTTTCATTGGTGTCACATGAAATAGCTTAGGATCCAGATTTCTCCACTCCTCTGCAACAAAGGACTGTAGGACACATGACAGAAGTCAGTCTCAGCTGACCTCTGCAAACCTTCCCCCAAAAACTTAAGGGAAAAAACTAGTGCCCCCATCAGTTAGAGGCTGATTTCAGTCCCATACATCTCAGAGTTCAAATGGAAAAGGCATTTCATACCTTTTTTTTAGGCATGATTTTATATCATTTTCAATCTGACATTGACTGACCTAATGGGTGGCTGAGCTGATGTTACGTGGCATGCACTTAAAGGCTAGGAGTATTTACACAGACGTGTTCATCACTCAGCTACACACAGACAAACAAAAAGGTGCAAAGTAAATCCCCTGCAGGAAGAAGTTCCACTGGCCCCTTTTCTTAAATAAAATTGTATACAAGTACCATGATATCCATTTTTTGTTCCAAAAAGAGCTAATATGACATATAACTCATTCTGTCTTGCTTGTAGTGTCACTAGCAGTATATGTATTTACACATTTTTCAAATTTTTTATAATCCTCTGGCTGCTTAGGCTATTGACTCTGCAGGGGTGAGAGCTCCCCATGGGCTGTGTGCCTGAGTGCTCAGAAACCCATCTGGGAGATGATGTGTACAATCCTTCTGCTGACCTTCCTGGGAAGGGTGTGGCTAGAAGGAACCAGAAAAAAAAAGCCCAAAAGACTTCTACTTTATAGAGAGAGCTTTCTCTGGATTTGAGTATGTTTTCTGTTTGCCTCTAAGGACCTCATGTAGCTCAGCTGTTCCCCAAGCTGCACAGGATATTACAGCTTGCACAGGGTTGTGATAGCCTTGCACAAAGAGTAAGGAAAAGAAATACATACATGACAATAGTAACACTATAATCAGATGGAAAGTTTACTGGCAGTTTAATACTGCCAGAGCTCCCATTTGCAAAGCACCACCACGATGCACTGCATTGTCAGAGGAACTGCCAGAGGTGAACCTCTGGCCCAAATCATAGCTTAGTGGTGTCTAACCTGTTGCTGCCAGGTTCCCCGTGTTGAGAAATGCACATCTGGCTTAAACAAAATGAGAAATGTGGCAATTCTTACAAAAACAATTTCTTGTGTGGGGGTTTTATCGTTATTTTGATTGGTTTTTGCTCTCTGAATATGAATTTGCAGTGTCCTTAAGTCCTTTTACAGATCTAGTACAGTTTCAAAAACCTCTGACAGCAGATCAGCTTTACTATGTACTTAGACTCAGCCTCTAATCTTGGAAATTTTAGGTGGTTTTATTACCTGCCTAATAAAACCTATCAAGATAGAGTGAGTAAACTTAAGACTTAGAAAGACAAATCTGAGTAAGTTTCCCATCCATGTATTATATGAGTCACATCCCTGATCTTTAGTTGTGAAAATATTTGTGGCTGTGGCTTTGGGAAATTTCCCATGAACCATAACAACTGAGAAATAGTCTTTTCAGAACCAGTGATCTGAACAAAAATATTACCTTCCCAAACCTGCTGTGAACGCTTGAAATTGGCAGTGTCTTCAATTTTTTAATTTATATAGAGCAGCACACCATTTTTGTGCACTTATCTCTGAAACCTGCTAATAATGGCATGAATTAGATCAGAAAACTTTTAGATTTCAGCTTTAACATGCTCTGGCACAGTCGGCACAAGAGGAAAATTCCCTGCCCCACACAACCCTGACTACAGGAGGGATGCTACAGTTTGTAGGCTTATGGTACCATAACACACTTCTGGATGACCCCTTTGATGGAGGTACATGAAGTCAGAGAAGTCAGAAGCACTTGGATGCCCATACTGGAGATAATTTTCACATTAGGGCTGTTCCTGCTGTGTGAACCCAAGTGGTTTTTTTAACACAAATGGAAGTAGCAGACGATCAAGTGGGACATACATTTGTCCTTGTGATGAGTCAACATAATAAGAATAATAATAGTTGTGGGTGTCTGTTTCTCCAGTAACTAACACTCAAAAGTACTTCCTTCATCTTAATATCATTAAAAGGCAACTTAATATCCATAACTGAAATAACTGAATAAAGAATATGCATACTCTAAACCAGTTGCATACTTGTCATGACACCAGCTTTATGAAGTTGTTTTTAGGTAGCAATACTGTTTAAAGGCAAAGATAAAAGTCAAATCAGTTTCTTGGTCACTTACCCCTTGGATATTTTGGCACTGTTTTCACTGCTTTTAGACACTTCTTTTTCCTTCTTAATATCTCACCTGAATGAACAGAGAAACAAAAGCTTTTGTTTGCTTTTGGCAGCTTCAGAGTCTCAACTGAAGGAGATAATTAAAACTAAAACCCATGGCAGCCAATCAAAGACAGGTTATTTCTACACTGAATCCAAATACGCTATTGGTTTATTTTAAATATCCAGCCACATGCCTTAGGATTTTCAATTCCATCCCTGTACAGTCTGGCATTTCTAGCGCTCTGTTCCTGACGGCCAAAAACCGTGCAGGATAGAGTGGTTGCGCCACACCTTTGCCATTCAGGTTCACTTAGTGTGAGGAGAAAGTCATTCAGCCTGAAAACTTGTGTTTTGTAAGTAAATAAAAACCATCTTTAAAAAAACCCATGTAAATCAGTGAGGTCTGATTGGCTGGCAGGTGAAATATAAGGCTTTGCCTGGTATGTTTACTGGAAAAATAACTGCCTGGTGATTATGCAAACGAGACACCCACACCCAGGATAGGAGGGTGTCAGAGCTGACAGTGAAATGTGTGGTTATGCCTCAGCAATTGTACAACCTTGTATCCTCACTTGCTACGTGTTGTTTTCAGTATAATCAGTCTTGTTGAGCAGAAAGAGGCAAATGCTGCCAGTACCTCAAAATAAAATATATTTCTGAATCAACTTTTCATCAAACACACACATTGCACGTCAGTACTAAAGAAAAGCTCTTTGCACATGGTTTTAAATTCCTTTTTTTTTAAAAAATTCATAGCTGTAACAATCGTTTAAGCCTCAAGTTCATGAGACTTTAAAACAGCACTGACAGTGATTTCTACTACAACCTTACAAAAATTATAAACAAAAAATATAGATTAGATTTCATTTGTTTACTACATGTATTTTCATAGGAGTGCTTTGCAAACAACTCTTTAAAAAGGAAAGCCAATAAAAACTGAGTTTTCTTATGAAGGGTCGAAGGGAAGAGAAAGGGAGAAAAGAGAAATTCATGGGACTGCACATTTACCCCTTCTCTGCTGCTGTCTGCTTCTGGTG